AGCTCACGCAGTTCCTCACCGGGCGTCACTGCTTTCATCAATAGAGTCATATGCACGCGGACAATTCCTACTTTTTGTATTGCAACGGTGAGTTGGTAAACGTATAACTCATTATTTTATATTGCAGTAAGTCTTTTTGAGTTTTCTACCATCTCAAAAATAAAACACGTAACGAATACACAATATCAGGGGATTAACAAAAGTTCAGTAAGCTTACCAGAAAAAGAAAAAACATTATTTTTTTTAGTCGAATTTCTTAAGCCCTTATATCTATTTCTGAAAACAGTCTTCAAAATATGCCTTTTTAAGTTTATCAAGTTCAGCATTAAATGATTAAAGACCTTTCCTTTTAAATATTTTAAATTTTTATATAGGGATTCATGTCACGGACTGCTGCTTAGATTCTGGATCGTACTTATAAAACAAAGATTCGTTGTTGTTGTTGTAGCGGTTCGCTTATCCCTCTTAGGCACAGGTTTAATCAGTCTAAGTCGCCGAGGCCATCTAATGGTAGGTCCAGGAAACGAGCTGTTTCGACGGGTTTGGACCAGAGGGAGAGGGGGGTTAGATGAGTTGGTTTGAGAGAGGCATGTGGAGAGGTGGTTGGTGTCGTGCGGAGACTCTCCACATGCAGGGTATACGTTGGGTATGCTGGGGTCTAGTCTGGATAAGTAGGAGTTTAATCTGCTACAATATCTAGACCTAAGTTGTGTCAGGTTCACGCGGGTCTCTTGAAGCAGCTCGAGCTCGTTGTCTGCTATAGGTGGTGGCTTTTCTCCGAGTACGCCATTCATTGGAAGGGAGTCCTTGAAGGTGCTGACTACAAGATTCGTCAGCAGTAGCGGTCTACAATCTGCGGTACCTCATAGAAAAATTTTTTAAGGACGGTGCAATCGTTCCATATGCAATTCGGCATACACTCACCATTGTGTTGGCTGTAAAAAGGAATAATAAAATGGTGAATTTTTGTTTGCGTTGATGGTGGAATTCCGTCTGACCTATTCTCAGCTGTCTTGCGTTTTCTCGTCTCCATTTCAGCCAATCATTCTAAAATAAGACAAATAAAGTAATTGCCATTGATCTTTAGATTTGACATAAACAAATTGAAAGTCACCAACTGACCGAACTTTTTTATTCTCCTGGTAGTAATCGACTGCATTTGGGCAATGGAGAGCATTAAATAATATAGCTAGTTAAGGGAGAAAGAGAGAGTATAAAATATACTGATTGGATTGAATTTTGGTATATGTATAATTCAATATTAAACTGTTTGTGTTTAGAGTTTATTTTTTTTATAACGATATACTTCGGTTTAATGTTTCATTAATTCTGAACGGGAACTCTGGTCCGAACTAAATATGTAAGTAAGAAGAAAGATACCCACAAAAATGTATACCGATCGAAAAAGAATAACGAGCTGAGTTAATTTAGCCCTGAGCGACTCTCCGTCTGTTGTTTGTTTATGACAACTTCAACTTGGTACGCAGATGTGGATATTTCTGAGATATAAATACAATTAAATACCCCATAACTTAATAGTGTAGTCAACGTTGTCTCATATAAAAAACCAGGCCTCTATGATGTCAATATCTTATAACTTTTATTAAAAATTACAAAAATTTCAGACAGCAACAGCCATACTCTTTTTCCCAAAAAGCAATCATTTCACAAAAGACATAGGACAATACATAGCCAAATCCTCTTACCTACAATGTCATTTATAAATTGTTTTAAATTTGAATTTCAGTAAACTACGAGCTCTGATTTTATTGCAATGCATTAGAGTGAGTTTATGAGACTTAGCGATTTGTGGCAAAAAAAGTTTTAATTATTTCTCTCAGATTCTTAACCTACTAATATAATTGTCAATTTTATTAAATAAAAAATACTGAAAAAATCAATCAATGGACAATTTTCTTTTTTAACATTCTAAAATCGATCCGCTCTAATGCACATACAAATAAAATTCCATAGAAGATACATACCAATTTCACTTGATTTCAAAAGCTACACTTACACTTTCTTACTGTCAACTTGAAAGCAATGTATAGTGAAACGTTAGGTTAAACAGGGCGATGATAGAGGAAGGAGCAAAGAACAACAACACAAATAATTGACAATATATTCCATATAGGAAAAGGCTGAGTATAAGTATTACATTGTTTGCAACTTGCTCGAAGGCCAAAAGTTCCAATAAGCAAAGCAAGTAGAGTAAAAATAAATTAAATCCTAAATTGAGCTCCGAACAATGTAAATTGGACTTCCATTCCAGTAGAGGGAGTTTTGTCTTTTGCTCTGCTGCGTTGTAGGCAGAGCAACAATGCTTGGAGCATAAGTCTGAACTGAATGTGTGATTCATCAATTGTAGGCTCACTAGGCTCAGGTGTTGAGTATAAAATTTGTTATCGGCTTTAGTAACTATTTACTGAACTCCTTATAGAATTTGTTGGCATGTGCATATTCATATTACATACTTACGCACATGCCTATACTTCAACTACTCTAGTGATATTATAAGCTTCTTCTATACAGGATATTAAAAGTAATTAACGAGACATAAAAATGGGCAAGTTTTACAACACATTGAGGATAAATTCGCATTGGTGATTGCTTGTTTGTTAAGAAATAGTATTATCATCCCTACAAATGTATGTACAATGATATGTATTTTTATTTCAGGATTCATATTTTTTTGTTTCAGCTTTTTTTAAAAAACTAATTAGTCTTATAAATTAATATTTGAATGTTAAAATTATTATTATTAGATATTAATATACTTTGATGTTGAGTCAGTTATTCGAGTATATAAACTTTGAGTGCTGGCATAAGAATTTACGTAAGACTTGTAAATCTGCTTTTCCAATCTGGATAACGAAGTGGTTCTAGTATATACAGTCAAGGCATTCAAGGCAATGTAAAATTACGGTGTAGATAATTAAAAAGTAAAGTACTCTCTCAACATAAAAAGCTCACTCGTTCCGCTCTGCTATATGACTAGACGCATTGACGAAGTTTACTTACCAATTTTATTTTACCATAGAAAGGTTTTGCGAGCGAATTATGGTTCTCTATGTATGGGCGAGGAATGTTGAAACGATGAGTTTTATGACATTTTCGTGACGCCATTGACATACGTGTAGATCAAAGTTGCTATTAAAAAGACTGGCAAGTTCGGCTTACTGGCTTACTGGTAATTGTATTCCATATATCCATATTAGCTTTATGACAGAATTGTACGTATAAAATAATTTTATGATCCAAGCATAAATCTTATCTTTTTTAACCAGTAACCATTTTTGGCTGGCGGTTTTAAATTTAAGGTGCTTTATATTGGCATAAATAAGGCTCTTCCAGGTCAGTCGCCAATCTAAGTGGATTGGAGATTTCTCAGAGATAAATCCCGATACTTTAACTGTAAACCTTCTGTTAGTAATGGTAATGGTATGGTATGAAGATTTTATGGAAATGTTTGGGCAAAGTCAAATTTGATTCTGAATAAAGGTCTTTCATGTCATAATTTATCGAATGCTTGAGCCACATCAAGAAAATTGCTGAACAGTAGTTTTTCGGGAGACAAAAACGATAATTGCGCCAATGAAATAGAAGTAAATACATTATATTTACCAGTTGGAAACAAACAATATTACATGTTTAAAATCAATTAAATAAATCAAATTAAAATATGTCACCTCCTTTTTTCTTTGAGTATTACCTTGTAGTGGCAATGTATGCGCAGCAAAGCACGTTTGAAAAAGCTGGTTATATACATACATACAAAAGTAAAAGCTACTGAAAATATACAATCAGATTTTCTTATTCATTAAAAAATAAATAAATTTTTATTGTTTGTGGTTTTCATATAAACTGTTGATTTTTTTTTGTCAGGGATGAGTCTATGTAGGAACCAATCATACAAATTGTCACTCTCCGTCACTATGACCTGAAAGCACATAATTTTACCTGCAATCTTTATTTTATCGTCCTGTACGCTGTCGGTTGCAACTTTCTTGAAATTATTTTAATCCGATTAAAAATGATTGCGTATGCAAAGTGATTTTTTTCCAATTTAAATTTTATTTATTACTAACACGATGATCTATCGTTGCGTACAAAACGCAGTAAGCTCAAAAAAGCTTACACAAAAACATGCACCAATTAACGAATAAATTTTGCAAGAAGTACAAATATCAATTAAAAAAGTGTTGTTGCATTGCATCACTGAAATTTGAAGCTAAACAACAGTGTCAAATCCAATTGGCTGTGGAGGACACACCGAGGATTTGAACTGGTAAATACAAGAAGAATAAAATGCGGTTGCTAATTTATATTGAAATATGTATGAAATATTAATGAAAATTTCGAAATTTTTCCCTGAGTGCCGTGGTCGGTCCAACTTGCAGTGATTGGCGGGAAATTGCTTTCGAGTTGGGTTTCAGTTTCTTGGCCCGTTCTATAGTAATACATTTCCACTTATTTGAAGATGGAAGTCTTAAAAAGCAGTGTGTGGTGATCCTTAATTTAAAGAGAATCTACTTTTACGTTTTCTAAATAGCAACATATAATATGCAAGAGTTTTTTCGTTACTTTTTTTTTGTTATTTACTTTATTTTATTATATTTTTTAAAAACTATTGTGTTAAAAATTATAAAATAAAAAAAAAGCTTTACCAACTAGCCTAAGGAAGAAGCATTTTATGTCCGAAATTCAAGCAAATCAATCCATAAATATGATTCTTTCGGATAGATCGGTCTCGGAATGAAAATTTCACCATCTATTAAGAGCTTTCCATTTTCCAGAGCAATTTGAATCATAAATAAGATTTTTAAAAATATGCGGTATTTCAGAAAGAAATGATTGAATCCTGAGACAATATTACCTACGTATGCTCAACATCCATCGACACCATCGATCCATTCCAATGTCGATTCTCGTAAAAAAATTATAACTTACACTCAAAACTGCCAAGCAAACCAAAAAAAATTAGGTTCAGGAGTATTAATTTTCTTAAAAGCTTAAACTTAACGAAGGAATTGCTTCTATTTATTTTCATTCGCTTTCTTTTGAAAAAAAAAAAAAAACGGTTCTTGTATAATTGCAATGCCTTCCGTAGTTGAGTTTCGGAATTGTCGCTCGACGTAAATCTTATTAAAGAATCTGAAATACAAAATTATAATATAATAAGTTTATATGCTTTGGTTAATAAATGTTTTACCTAGTACTGCGGTGTAAACATTTTGAAATTCTTTTAAAAACCTCTTGCCGTGCGTACCACCTATGTTAGATTCCATAGTGAATATATTACTCAAATGTTTACTAACTGAGTTTTGCAGTAACCGTCTAATTGCTGATATCTATTAAAAAATTAATTGTTTTATTATAAATGTGATAAAAGATATATGTACATTTGTATGAAGTTCAGAAATAGTAAATTAAATTCATGATCACAGATGAAATTGTTTACGATTGCAAACATTACTCACCTTCATTAAACTATTTTTTGGTATAATTTTTTATTTAAAATTTCCAATTCAGTTGTAGATTTATTTGGAATATTTTCTTTGATTGCGTCAACTGCAGAGTCTTTGTCACCGTTTCTGTAAGATAATTAATAACAGTTTAATTTTTTTTTCTATTAGGATAAAAGACGAATATTATTGTCATGTGGAACACCCATCATTTTACAATCCATGTCATCTATAGAAAAAAGTTCTTCTACAATTGGCATGGAGGCCACTAAACATATTCCTAAAGACATTGAATCACTTAGAATCTTTTGCCTACTATAAACTTTCTATCTTTCTTGAATTTGAATAGGTATATAATGATGCTATTTGGTTTTTCCGAAAAGATGCTCTAAAGAAGAAGCATAACCCCCATAACGCAAAATCATATGCAGAAAAACCTGGTAAGGGCCCTATCGCTTTAACATTTTCGGTTCGGAGTAATAACTGGTGTATGTTAAGTGTGGCACTACCATTTCCAAAAATTTCCGAAAAGATCTTGATAAATCCTCCTCATCTTGATAAATCCTCTTCATATCCTCCTGCAACTGTTGAGTTTTCCAGATAACTTTTTGGGCAGCAGGAGCAGCAAAAATTCGTAGCATTGGTCTTCGTGGATGTTTCCCTTTTAAAATACTACGCCAGTCTAGAGGAGGACCTGCCGAAATTCTATAGGGATATAAAGTGAAAATGACTCCAAAACTTTTGGCATGCTTTCCTTTTTTGAATTTTCAATTTGTTTAGGCCTCCAGGCTAAATTACCTTTTTAATCAAAGGCTATACCACCAAAATAAAAATTTACTAAACACGCAAATAAAGAAAACTATGCACACAGCTACAAGCACTCATGCAACAGAAGGTGAGAGCGAGCTGTTGCTGTAACTGTATTTTCCCTATGAGACGTTCGGCTGAAATATCTCGTGATCAAAAAGGTAATATTGTATCAGTTAACAAATAATCATATCATACATTCAATTAACCTCATTTCTGAATTTCTAAACCCGCAACTAATCAGCTTTTATTTAATTCCTTTTATATTTATTTCGAGCGAAACCACTGGTACATTTTTCAAATATATGTATGTGCCACGGGTTTTCATGGTCCTATCGAACCGACACTTAACCAGCAATCAAACCTTCATAGTGCACTGGAACATTTTCTTCAAGCAGGCTTACATTGCAGCTCATTAATTCCAAAGCAACACGAGAAGCTTCTCAGTGTATTTATCAAATCACAAACATCTTACTTACTTCGTCAGATTTACTAAACCACAATCAGTTTTCATTGCACACAAATATAATTTTTCTAAAATACGTGGTTGACATGGGCTAGTTTTTGCACAATTTAAGAAATAAAAAAATTATAAATAAATAAAAATTTTCTTGCCTGGTATTCTCGGAAAGTTGCCGTACCTTGAATAGCACAGTGATATTGTGAGTGATTTTGTGAAAGTGAACACAGTGCTTTCGTGTATATGTTTACATTTAAACAATTTTTAATTGTGCGATATTTACAGGCGCGTTTGCTTTTCTTTAAATTGTTAGTGCACTTTTTCAAGTTTCGACAATAAATTATCTGAGCACAATTTATTTAATTTATTTTATTGCAAAATATTAATTTCACATTTTGATCCCTTGATTATTTTCACTTCATTTTGCAAATTATTTTGCGTAAACAATATTTTAATTGGTCAAGTCACAGTGGAACTAACAACTGATAGATTTTTATAATCGTGCTTGAATTATGTTGAAATGTATTTATATTCGTTAGGCAACTCCAAACATATTACAAATACTCGTATAGTATCTAAGTAAATAGTTATGTCCTATATAAGGTTCAACATATGAGAAATACCCTCTCTCCTGTAAAATATCTACTTGAATAAACACGTTCTTAAACTTTACCACAACTGCGTATTTCAATACTTACAACAAATTACATATATCACTTTTAAGTAAACTGTGTTTTTTCTTCTTTCATCAAATAATTTTTGTTTTTTCCTCAAACTCACTTCAATATCAGTATCTCCACTTTTTTCATATTCCATTGTATATATAAACATATAATCCTCTATTTGAGTGGTGAGGTTTGAAATAAGAGAGTGTTATTTATTTCCAAAGATAGAACAAATACATACAGACTTACAAATACGCATATATTTCGATATAAAATATAAAAAAAAAAATGTGAAATTGAAAATTAAAATTCTGGTGTCTTTTAATATTTTTTTTTTGTAAAAACTCATTTTTTGTGATTTGAAAAAATAGAAACTTTTATTCGCTTAGCCGACTCAGTAGCAGAGTTCGAAGCAGATTACAATTTGGTGGCTGATACAGACCATACAAAATATGCCCTTCCGCTTGAACAAGATGAGTTAAAGGCTGTATGGTGAAAAGTAAAATTATCCTTTGAAGAACTTTTGAATTCCAGCATGGCAGATGCAAAATCGGCACCAGTAAAAGCCAAGTACAAAACTTCCGATACGGTATATTTATGATGCATGTCGAGCATGGCAGAACTTCATGGAAAGCTCACTTCGATAAAGAACAGGAGGATATATCAAGGAGAGAGCATAATATACATCTTCCGCCCTGTAATACAGACATATTCAAGGGTGACTATACCTCATGGCCAACATTCCGAGACATGCTTACGGCTATATATATTAACAATAGACGGCTCAGCCCTGCGGAAAAGCTGTTTCATTTGAAACAGAAAACATAGGGGGAGGCAAAAAAAAAAATAGTGAGCAAATGCAAAGTTACGAACAAGGGCTTCATCACTGCGTGGAAAAATCTATGCGAAAGAAATTGAGTGTGGAACCTCGCTTAAAAAATTGCAAAGGAGTATTAATAAAAGCCTTTCCGCATTAAGCTACCACAACATAGACGTAACTAACTGGGATGCGATAGTTGCTTATTTGTGTTCCAGAAAGCAACCAGAGAGTACATTGGATCTTTGGAAACAAACTGTTCAAGGAAAATCCGAAATCTTCAAATGGGGTGATATGGACAGATTCTTCTCGAACAGATTTCAGACTCTGTAAACTATATCTAATATAAAGGCAACAACACATTCAAGAACTTCAAAGCCGCAAAATATCAGTAAACCAGACCCGCAAAAAAAACATGGTGTCTACCAAGAAACTATTTCCAAACAAGTTATCCGAGCTCCAAAATTTCCTGAATCTCGTGCCTAATCAACGTTATGGCAAAACAGGGGTTTCGGGACTTTCTCTTAGCAGACAAACGATTTTACGCAAAAGAAGTTATACTGCGAAAGAAACTTACTGCGAGCAGATATACAAAACCACAACGAAGCGGTATCGTGAAGGAAAATATATCCTATCCCTACCTTTCAAACAGGATTTCCAAGGAACACACTATTAGGTCCATCATTGAAAATAGCTTGCTCGCAATTTTTCCGAATTGAAACACGCCTGACAAAGGATCCGCTTCTGCAAAGGGAATATAATAGAGTTCTAGCGGAATTTGAGAACCTTGGACAAAAGCAGCGGATTTCGAATCACTTTCCAGGAGACGAAAGGGACTCATACTTCCTGCCACATCATGCAGATAGAAAGGAGGAAAGCACATCCGCTAAGGTACGAGTAGTATTCAGTGCGTTGTGTCCAACTTAAAATAGAGTCAGCCTCAACGATATCGTCCACGCCGGTCCAATTCCAATTAAGACATTACTTCAACTAGCAGATAATGTAGAAGATTTATACCCTCTAGCGTCTGACATTCTGAGGAAATATATGATGACTTTGCCGGAGGACACAGCATCGAATCTGGAATTAAATCTTAGAACGAGGTATCATTAGCATTGAAAACAGCTGGATTTCCACTTTGTAAACGGACGTCTAACCACGAAAAAATTTTGGTGGGAATATCAAAAACGGACTTAATGAAGATCTTCTAGACTTTGAAGCTTAGTAAAGGCATTGGGCATCAGATGGAATGCTCACTCTATCACATTTTATTTTACCGCTAAGGATTTGGTATTAGAAGTTAGCTTCACTGAAAGCCCCTTACTTTCGCCTATTGCAAAACTATTCGACCCACTGGTTGGCTTGCGTCATTTGTAATAACAGGTACAGTTTAGGACGAATCAGTCTCCACAACTACATCAGACCGAAGTCTTATATATGCATAACTACTTGGAAATTAAATTTCGCCAGCGGATCAACCAGAAATTTTATGGCTTTTGTGATGCCTCAGAGAAGGCTAACGCGGTTAGTATTTCCTTCTGGCAGCCTTTGCAAGATTCGTAGAAAGACGAGGTTGTCCCAAAAATATCTACTCGGACAATGGAATGAAACGATCAGGCTTTAAGGCATTTATAGACGAAGCACGAAGTACCACTATGACAAAATACGTTCATCAAAAGTGGAATTTTATTCCCGCCTCAGCCCCTTACATGGGAGGATGGTGGGAATCGGGAGAGTTAAAAGCTTCAAGGCTCATTTCAAAAATATCGCTACGGAGCATGAATACACCTTCAAGGAAGTCTCGACCCTTATATGCAGAATTGGTAGTAATCGAAAATATTTATATTTTTTACTTACTACATTTTAATAGGTTATCACACCTCATTTTATAAAGAACCACATTGCAACATATTGTTGCAAAAATGCGAGGCGAACGTCAGATGAAAGAGAGAAGCCGATAACTAGAACCATTCTAGAACGATAAACGAGAACCTGGAACGAGCGAACAGCTCGATGATTCTACACTTTCGTCTACGAACAGCCGACTGCTATACAAGGGCGACACTCAGCTGCCAAGTCAAATCAGTAACAAAGTGAACTCATTGGTAACAACATAGAGTTTAGCGGAATAAACTATTTGAGTCCCGTTGGAAATTACACTTAAGTAAAGTAGATTGTGAAAGTTTATACAAGTGATTATAACTATTGTAGTAAAATGCATTGTAATTGAATTGTGAATTACTGAGTAAATAAAGGACATTAGATAAATTCTTTATAACGACAGAAACTGCAAATTAAGTTGGCGATTTTTATTTAACAATCCAAAGATCGTACCCGAAGGATTCAGAAAATCATCGAGGTCGATTTAGCAAAACCGTGACAATATTTTGAGTTTCTTAATAAAATTTAATTTATTTTTGTTGGAGATATTCGTTTACCTAACACTACGCGTCATTCTATTCTTTATATACTGTCATTTTCTCACATGTATAATCATTAGTCTATGCTTTGTTCTTTTATTTTTTTTGTAACTTAAAACTTTCTTCTGGATTAAAACCTCGTGGAGTGAAGATCAACTTGTAGTTTATCTCTGAATAAATATTGAATTATCTCTGCAATCCCGTCAATTTTTGTAATACTATCAATTTTATTAAATTTCAGATAACCTTAATACAAATAAATCAAAACAAGAAATAAAACTATTGAGCCATTAAGTCGTAATAAAAATTGGGTTGAATGGTCAAGCGATATTTAAAAATCGGTATTATAAATTGAAAAATAACTTTAAATTATTATTTTTTGTTTTACTGCAGAACTAAACTGAACATACTTCTAGATCTATGTTAACATAAAGATGTACATATGTATCTAACAAAATTTGACCCATAAGGGTGCAGGTAGCTATTAATTAATAAGTTCTTCAGCTTGTATATAGAAACAAAGTAATTTAGCTCATTTATGAAACAATTGAGACTTCAATATTATAATTAACTCAAGGATTTCACTTTCCAAAAAAAAAATATCACCAATTTATGATAACATATATCTTTGATATCGCATACAACTAATTGAGGAAAAGTTCTAGTGACTAATAAATGTTAAGAATTTCGTTTTTGGCATTTAGTAATGTTTGCAAAATTTTGTACATTTTTCAGAAATGGATTCTTTCTGAAAATGTTTGGTTAAGTGCAAGTTTTTTGTTGAAATTTATAAAAAAGAAATCCCTCTTTTTTAAAGATTGTTGTTTGGCTTGCAAATGCGTTTGTTTGTAAGGAGTAACTGTTTAATACACTGCTATTTTGGCAAAGACACTTAGATGACTAATATGCAATGGGTATTAAAATTTGCTCATCACAAACACTGGAGGACTTTGGTTGCTGTTGCAGCTGCGACTGAACGCGACTCATCCTTGCAAGGCGCTGCACCTGCTGGTGTTCCACTTGTGTTTTAGATGCACTGTCCCAATGATCTATTCATTTTGATCTGTTTTTCGGGCCAGATCCGGAGCTTCCATTCCAACTTTTCAAGCCATTTTCCGTTATATTTTTTACTATACGGTTCGCCTGTAAAATCGGGCACTATAGATTAACTAATGTAGTGTTGTCATTTGATGGGCCTGGAATAAAGAAAAACAGAATGATCTACTTACGTGCCTCGTGAAAAATCTGATGAAACTAATGAGGTTGGCAGCAGTCAAAATATATATACGAATGTCAGCAAACAGCGTTGCCTACCAACATAAGAAAATTTTTGTACGCAAACTTTGATTTCGGAACATAACACGGTGTTCATATGCTAAGAAACCGGAAAAACACACTTTTTAGCTTAAATATAAAAATAATTTATCTGCTACTCAATAATTAAAAAAGATATTACTAACGAATTCTTTTTATCGACCGAATTGCAGGTGGTGTGTACCTAGCTTACATCACAAGAAAGTCTCACAAACGATTATTTTTTTTCCTCAGTTGGAATTATTGCCGATGGTCCTTGTCCAATAAAAATTGTTTGTTCGGCACCTACACCTGTCTTGCTCACTAAGCTAACATGTGCTGAATTAATCACCGTTTTGGGGAAAATCCTTTTCATTCTATTTTATGCAAATACTCATAGTGAACCTTTCGTAGTATTTTAACTTCTGATGCTTTCAAACAAGGCAAGCATAAATCGCACTCCGGCTTATTAAAAGATGTTCTCGAAAAGGGTCATTCATTCAGGGCTTTTAGAGGTTGCCATGAATACTGGCGATATTATATAAGATATATTTTCAAGTTCAGAGTCTGAATGGAAAACGAACTCGCCAAATGTTTCTTCATATATGGTCTTCCAAAATCAACCTGCGATAGGTTAACAGTACTTAATAATGCAGGTTAAAT